GCCATTCATCGTCTATGGGTTATTTAATGCCGAAATCCAAATATTTTGTAAATAATTTTATGGCTTCAGCTGTATCTATTTTGTAAATAATTTTACACTTTCTCTTTGGGAGTTCACTACTTGCCCATAGCTTGGACCCTAACAGTTGCTACCACCCCGGACCAGGGTGGACGTGGGAACAAGATCAATTAAGAAATGTATCGTAGTTTACCCAGGACTAACATATTTGTAAATATAACGTGATTAGATATTGTTAAAATGTCCGTTTTTAAAACCATAAATAAATTCCTAATAACACGACATATGTAACCTATTTTGAATTCAAACTGCTGAATAATTTGTTCCGACCATTGTATGCACTTGTTATACGGCATAATTTTTTATCTCAATTTCCTCTCCGTACAAATATAGGAAAAGTCTTTGTTATTTTACTGCTATTTTTCTTTTTTTTTACCATGAGATCACACATGTATGTTTCGATTATTTGATAAAACATTTTAGATAATACAGTTATTTCAAGACTAAAGCAAAACATAACTAATCACTTAAAAATTACTCTTTCCTCTCAGTAGTATTTATTTTTAATAAATAGGAGTAGATAGATTCGCTTATCGTCCGTTTCACACTCTTCCCCGGTCTTTTGAACAGTAGTGGAGGTTATATCCCTTATTTCCTGTTTAAGATTGGGTTTCCGGTTATTTCTGGATTATTTTTTATTCTCTGTCACTTCAAGTAGCCTCTTAGATTTTAGTGGCATTATCACCTTGCTTGAGATGAATTGATTAAAAAAAAATGCATTTCATGTTCGTTCAGCAGTGACTTGTGGAAAACAACTAAAGCTGTGAGCCTTTTTTTTTTTTCTTTTTTTCTTTTTTTTCTTTAATCTTTCCAATACCACTTTACTAAAATCCTCCATAAAACACCCAATCCTGGCCACTCCAAAATAACTTCCGGCACTGCCCTCTAATTACGAAATAAAACCGGAACTAGTACATTGTCTTCCAAGGATGAGATGTTATAGCTGCTAATTTAACCTAGACAATTGGCAGTAATCGAACTGGGTAAAGCCAAAAGAAAGAGCCACTCTTACCAAAGAACGTTATCCTATAATTAATCCCCTCCCTGTAAAGTGAATCTGCGGTTTTGTGTCATTTACGTAAGGCTTGACACTCATTTATTCGTTTCCTCTTGTTCGAGTTTATTCGATGACGTTATTTTTATTCATTTGTTTAATGTAACAAAACAGAATTATTTCAAACAACCATGTTCACGTCAGGTAATTTTGTCGTCCTCTGAAAATGTTAGGCTTAAAGCGGATTTGACTCTCCTTTTAAAAGTCGTCTATTATTCCGCTTCGCAGTTTTACAGCAAATCATTTGATGCATTGGTTTGGATTATTTTTAGAGCGTGACTTTTGAAAATGAGACAAAATGGAAAATTTATTAACAATGCGATTCGTCAAGAGCGTTTGCTCTCTTTGGCTTCCTCGGGTTAGAATGAAAGAAAGACAAAACTACATGCGAGGAAAATACGTTGGGATTTTTTAGGATAAGTGGGGACTATAAATTAAATTAAATTAGATTACCTTGTTACATCCAATGCCTAGACTCCAGATCGTAACATAAATTCAAACCTGATAAACAGACAACTTTCTTATAGCAATACTGTTAATTTCGACAACTGCTATATATTTAGAGATCTTGATAAAATCCAAAGAAGAATCTGCAATGTTATCGGTTCTGACATGGCATCCCGGCTTCAGTTACTTTCCCACCGTCGTACTGTAGCTTCCCTGTAGCTTTTCTATAAATATTTTCATGGTAATTGTTCTGATAAACTTTGCTCTATAGTACCCAGACTTTATCAATTTAAGCTGGACTAGATTGGGAACAAGGTCTCATTAATTTACAGTTGAATTGGCTAGATGTACCTATAAGTTCTTTGTTAACAGTTTATTTTCTAGCCTTTTCTCACCCGTGAAACTCTCTTCGGGCTTCTTGGATTCTAGCCAACTTTGATATTCAATTGTTGTTCGAATTTGTATGCATATGCTTATATTCATACATTCACGCACACATATATACATTTATATACATATATAGATATATAGATATGCATACACACACATATATATATATATATATATATATATATATATATATATATATACACGTATACGTACAAGCGCATACACAAACACTAGTAGATGTGTATATGTGATTTGTTATTAATATATTAATTAGTAGTTAAATGGTAAAGTGATTTTTTCCAAATGTTATAAAAATATAGTTTTAAGGTATGCTATATAAATGTGAACACTGAGGTCAACACAAAGCGACAACAGTCTGTTTCACCCTTTAACGCAATCTTCAGTCCATGTGTGTTGTGTTTTAGCTCGACTATTTATATATGCTGGTCAATGGTGCATTATGGGTAGTAAGGTTTATTGTATTATCCTAAGGGTTATTGGGTAGGCTATAATGGTTGTTTCAAATTATTATATCTATAAGCTATTGAATAGGAATAATTGTGTATCTGAATGCGGTTATTTGTAATTAGTTTATAGTGTTGTTAATTAAGTTTGTTAAT